CCTTGCAAGCATTGCAACTAATGAGTTAGTTGCGAGATGATGTATTACGAAATGAGTAAAGAGACTTGCCGGTAACGAGATTGAACTAGGTATTGGATACCGACGATCGAATCTCGGGCAAGTAACATACCGATGACAAAGGGAACAACGTATGTTGTTATGCGGTCTGACCGATAAAGATCTTCGTAGAATATGTAGGAGCCAATATGGGCATCCAGGTCCCGCTATTGGTTATTGACCAGAGACGTGTCTCGGTCATGTCTACATTGTTCTCGAACCCGTAGGGTCCGCATGCTTAAGGTTTCGATGACAGTTATATTATGAGTTTCTGAGTTTTGATGTACCGAAGGTTGTTCGGAGTCCCGGATGTGATCATGGACATGACGAGGAGTCTCAAAATGGTCGAGACATAAAGATCGATATATTGGACGACTATATTCGGACACCGGAATTGTTCCGGGTGATTTCGGATAAAACTGGAGTGCCGGAGGGGTTACCGGAACCCCCCGGGGAAGTAATGGGCCTTATTGGGCCTGAGGGGAGAGAGAGGGCAGCAGCCCAGGAGGTGGCACCCCCCCCCCTCATGGGGAGTCCGAATAGGACTAGGAGGGGGGCGCGGCCCCCCTTTCCCTCTCCCTCTCCCTCTCTTTCCTTCCCCCTCTCTATTCCTAGTTGGACTAGGAAAGGGGAGTCCTACTCCCACTAGGAGAAGGACTCCCCCCTCTCCTTGGCGCGCCCCAAGGGCCGGCCGGCCTCCCCCTTGATCCTTTATATACGGGGGCAGGGGGGCACCCTAGAACACACACAAGTTGATCATCGTGATCGTTCCTTAGCCGTGTGCGGTGCCCTCCTCCACCATATTCCACCTCGGTCATATTGTAGCAGCCCTGCGACGGTAGAACATCAAGATCGTCACCACGCCGTCGTGCTGACGGAACTCATCCCCGAAGCTTTGCTGGATCGGAGCCCGGGGAGCGTCATCGAGCTGTACGTGTGCCAAGAACTCGGAGGTGCCGGAGTAACGGTGCTTGGATCGGTCGGACCGGGAAGACGTACGACTACTTCCTCTACATTGCGTCAACGCTTCCGCTTCGGTCTACGAGGGTACGTAGACAACACTCTCCCCTCTCGTTGCTATGCATCACCATGGTCTTGCGTGTGCATAGGAAAATTTTTGAAATTACTACGTTCCCCAACAAGGATGACCAGTCTATTCCCATTGGTCTTGATGGCAAAAAGTTTTTGCATCGGCTACTTCAAGCCGATCCATCTAAAGAGAAGGTAAAAAATGCAGGTGATAGGATCATGCTTTCAAGTAAAGAAGTAGTTGAAGATCACAATGAACATGAACTTGAGGATGAGGATTCCATCGAAGCTACAATGAAGACGCTAAGGACTGGGGGCAACAAGGAAATCCAATGATCGATGAAAGCAAACCAAAAGAAAACAAAGGCCGAAATAAGCGCAAGTGTAAGAGATCAAAAATCACCTTCACTGAACTATTGGATACATATCATAAGAAGAGTGAAGAGAAGAATGCTTGTCGGCCAAATCATGCAAAGAAACCAAGATCACCCCCAAGGCGCAAAAATGAGGATCGGTATTGGCAAAGTGAGCATTTTAATGCAACATATTCATATCCTTATTTTGGGCCACCAGTGCCAATGCCGTGGATGCATCCCTATGCTCATGTAGATCCATATCCATCATGGAACAGGTATGATACAAGGGCACACTCTCCATCTTATTTTAGACCATCTAACCAATATTATGCATCTCCGAGAAGATCAACATTTGAACAATCATATGTTAAAGACCGTTTCAATCATAAGGAATCGGTCCGGAGCTCAAAGAAGAAGAAAGAGGTGGTCAAACAAGTGTACCGTGTTAAAAGAGATGGTCGTAAGAGTGCAACTTCAGATTTGATCTCAAATGAAAAAGAGCCAATTAACGTGTTGACATTGGCTACTAAAGGCAATGAGACGAAGCAACCAATTATCAAGAGTCAAAGTGCCAAATCTGAAGAAAAGAAGTTGACACTGCACAAGGTAAAACAAGAATTGCCATTGCTTCAAACAAAATCAGAGCCGGGGTGCCCACTCGGCTTATCGTATTGGTGAAAGAAGGAATTACAAAAACTTAGTGCACAAGAGCTGAAAAAGAAGAACATGGCATGGGTTCCCAAGAGGAGCAGTCAGAATAAAAATGATGTGCAACCTTCTATTGCAACAAGTGTTATAAAAGTGAAGAGAGAGAAGGATGAAAACCAGAAACAATTAAGCCGAAGGTTTGCATCACCCCATCAAAATCTTCGGTTAGCACATCATCCATGTTTTTCAACCATACCATTGATGCATTTGCCATGGAATTCATCATCAGGTATGATAAATTACCCTCCCTGGATTTATTTTGATCCATGGAAGCGACATAATTTTTTGCATCATGAGAGGGTATTACCTAATTCCTATACAATTTATTAGCTACATTTTTTCTTGCTAATCCAAAGGGCCGAAATATTTGATTGCTATTTCATTTGTTTATTTCGGCTATACATGATTTGGTGAATGAATTCTACACGGACCTCATGGTAATGGCCGATACTTATCTATCGCCCTAAGAATATGACAAAGCATGGCTGGTGTACCATTCTAACATCGTCCTTAGTTTGGTTGGAGAGCAAGACAAAGTACATGTTCATGGAAATCTATACATATACTTATATTATGCTTTCATGGAGATGAAACATTATGACCGGTGCCATTCAAAATATGTTGCATAGACCGATTCATAGAAATTGAGTGGGTTTATGCTTTGATTTAATATATATGATTCGGCCTACGAATATGAGAGGCCAAATCATTGTTGTTTTATTATCGACCATCGGATTTATGACATGCATAATATTGATATTAGCCTTGTCTTTTTAGTACTATGGAGATTATGTTTTGATGGTTGAATTCATAACGATGGCCAAGGTGTTGGTGTTGTTTATATATATATCCTTATGGTACTATTTTGTGAAGCCTCATGCCACTTAAAATATATTTTTTGCACAATAATCAAAGCCGAATATGCAATGTTATTCGGTTTGGATCTTTTGGGTGCCATAGGTGCCACGCACATTGAGGCTTTGGGTGATTCGTTATGAGTAGTGCAACAAATATCTAAGGGTCATCAATGTTTTGACGAATCACTAATAGTTTACCTTGAGGTATCTCTAGATATAAATTTACCTTGGGTTGCTTTAATATTTCTCATATATCTAGACATGAAAATTGAAGAGCAAATGAGTTGGCACAACAAGCATTCGGCTACCATGTAGATCATGGTGTATTGCACATCTATCAATAGCCGATGCTTGATCTACCGACATAGATAAGGCCGAACCAAAGCCCATTGCTTTGGCCACTAATGAAATTTGTATGCAAGTGAAAGAAAGGATTAGAGGGAGTTCATTCTTGATTATCTGCAAAATCCTAGCAAAAGGGTGAATGATATGGTTCGGATGATGGTTTTGATCTATGGAACCATATCACCGGATTGTTATAGAAGTTGAGAAGTTTTTCACCCAAGTTTGCATCAAGAGGTTCAAACAAGCAATGGCCGATATAGAATTATCGCCCTAAGCATGAACATGGCCGATATATATTTATCGCCCTAAGAACATATAAATGGCCGATGGAGTGTTGACATCGTCCTTATAGCCAACACGGTACAAATTATTTTTCGGCACGCTAGCTTTGCCGAAAATCAGGGAGGCATGTGTTGACGCTCAAAAGTGGCACATTTATAAAGAGTGGCTTGACGCTATGTCAAGATTAATTCAAACTTACTATTGAAAGTCGCCGTGGTATAGCTCTATTCGAGAAGATCAAGATGGATTTGAAGATGGTCTAAAATGGAGCTCGGATGCAAAAGTTATGACAAGTTCGGAGATGCGCATATTGACATCAGATTATAAAATGGCCATAAACTCGATTGAGATGGCCTCTGATGGAAAATGTTTCAACATGAAAGTTGTGCGTCTCGTCGAATCGGTTATTTTGATATAAAAATCATCTTAATCCAAGGTCGTATGCAACCTGTGGAGGCAAAATAAGGTCAGAAACAGAAGTTGCAGAGTCATTTCGGACCGACCGAGTTGATTGACTCGGTGAGACCGAGTTGATCCGGAAAATTACAGAAAGTTACAGAAAGTTGGCAACGCTCACTCGGTGGGACCGAAACAAACTAATTGGTGAGACCGAGTTGATCTGGGAAATTACGGAAATTTACAGAGAGTTGGCCACGTTCACTCGGTGGGACCGAAGCAAACCAATCGGTGAGACCGAGTTGATCCGGAAAATTGCCAAAGATTCCTGTCCGGGTTAGGTTAGGGTTTTTGACGTTTTGGATGGACTTTTTAGTCCTTTTCTTGTACGGGAAGTCCAGCCGCCTCATAAATAGATGAGAGGTGACGGCCGATTGAACAAACACACAATCGAACATATCAATCTATCATCTTTTATCTTTACCTTTATCTCCCTCCCTTGTTCTTCTTCTTCCTCGTTCTTCGTTCGTTCTTCTTGTTGCAGGGCGACGAACCTCGAGGCCCTAGGGGCGATCAGGTCGACCTAGGGCAGCCCATAGCCACCGCGCGCCCTGACGGGGTCCCTCCCGGGGGTGTGGGGTTTCGGGTCCTCAAAAGCACCCGCCGGATTGCCTGCGTACCGCGCTTCCGGTCGGGTCTCCTTCAACGTGAGCTACGGTGCATCACCCCCGGCGTCGAGGGTACACGGTGACGTGTTCGTGTGCGAACAATTATTAAATGAAAATCATAGTTGAAACAGTGTATGGGAGACTTGACAGAGAGTAATGTTTCCATAGAAATTTGAGCGACTTCAGCAATCATCATAGGAAGTTTATTGCTTCATGAAACAAAACACTTACACATACATCTAATTAGTGTCCTGCAGCACACTTATTTTGTTGTCGGAGCAAGAAGCTGACTCAATTGATGATTATTCAAGGAAGGGGTAGTCGGTGTAGCCGACGACAGGGTCTGAGGTGTAGAAGGTCGTTCTGTCATACTTGTTCAGTTCTGCGCCGACCTCAAACCGCTTTGGCAGGTCTGGGTTCGCCAGGAATAGCCGCCCAAAGGCCACTAGGTCAGTGTATCCCTCGGTGACCACCTTGCCCCCTTCCTCACGGTCATATCCACCATTGGCGATGAAGGTCCCTTTGAATGCTTCTCTGTAAGGTAGCAACCGCTTCGGCACCACTCTCCGTCCGTCCACAATGGCCATCCTCGGCTCAATCATGTGGATGTAGAGGATGTCATGGTCGTTGAGTTTGGTGGACATATAAAGTGCAAGGGAGTGGGGGTCAGAGTCATGGCAATCCATGTAGTCAGTGAATGGGGAGAGGCGGATGCCCACACGGCGGCCGCCGACCTCCTTGACGACAGCATCGACCACCTCGAGAGCGAAACGACACCGGTTTTCAAGGGTGCCACCATACTCATCTGCGCGGTCGTTGGCGCTATCCTTGAGGAACTGCTCGATGATGTACCCGTTTGCACCGTGTATCTCCACGCCGTCGAAACCTGCCACACCACACCATTCATGTAGGGGAGATCAGAGCACCATTCATGATACAAGACCACTTTAGATATGACGGCGGTATCCAAGATACAAAATTTGGACATTCTAGTATATATGTATTTACATGTTAGCGGATGACTTGTAAAATGGTTATTTGTTCTGAAATTACTACCTCCGTTTTACAACATAAGAGCGTTTTTTATCTAGTGTCAAAAACGCTTTTATATTATAGAGAGGGAGTATTTTCGTTGGATGAACTAACGGTACTATTTCTGCAAAAAAGGTAAATTTATGTTTGTTGGTTGTCCAGGGAAGCAATGTTTGACCGAGCATTTCTGAGCAGAAAGCTGGCGTGTTAACGTCCTAATGTAGGTACGTACCCGCGTCGATGGCGTTCCTTGCGGCCTTCCTGAAGTCGTCGACGATGGCAGGTATCTCCTCAACCGTCAGCCTCCTCGGCGGCGAGAACTCCTCCCGATGCCCATCGAAGCTGATCTGCGGGCCCACCCCCTTCTCCGTGCTCGACAGCGGAGCGGCGCCGCCGGGCTGCAGCTCAAAGGTGGACACACGTCCGACGTGCCAGATCTGGCAGAAGAAGAGCGCGCCCTTGGCGTGCACTGCGGCCACGATGGGCTTCCACGCCTCGATGTGCTCCGTCGTCCAGATCCCCGGGGTATCGGTGTAGCCCTGCGCCGTGTCGGAGACCCCTGTGGCCTCGGCGATGAGCAGCCCGCCGGCGGTGGCGCGCTGGGAGTAGTACACGGCGGCGTGCGGCTGTGGCACGTTGCCATAGGAGCGCTGCCTCGTCAACGGCGCCAACACCACCCTGCAGCATCAGCATGGTCGCCGGCCGGCCGTCGGTTCAGCCATGCATGATCCATGAGTGATCGAACATGTACAACATGTGGCTAACGGTTTCAGTGGATAGTACGTACCTGTGGGCGAGGTCGAACTGGCCCATCTTGTACGGCGTCAGGAGAGGGATGGGCTCCATTGCTGATAGCTGAAGCTCTTCTTGATCAATTAATGGCAGAGGAGGAAGAAGAAGACTGCTGAGTGGTGTGGTAGTGAGTGGTGAGTAGCAGAGTTGACAGGACATTCATTTATAGATCATTGGTACGCAAATCATATATTATCATGTGATATGGTTATAGTAAACTAAGGTGATCCCGGCTGCTAATTGAGCCGACATACATCATGGGTGAGCTAAGCATGGAAGAAAAAGGCATCTTATTTTAGTTTTAGTCGTGCTATCACAGCTCATAAGCACGCATCAAGTTCTGTGTCTTTTGACTCCGCCAGAGACAGCGACCAATTATATGTACTCCTCCATCACGTTCTTCGCTCCCTATCTTTTGGGACGATGATGTGTATTGTTGCAAATAAAATCAAGCTTAACCTTTTATGATCATTATATTCCTAAGGAAAATCCCCGGTCCATTTTCTTGTATGCGAGAAAGGAAAATGAAAGGAACCATCCACAAGACTATATCCTCGCCCCTCTCGCTCTCCTCACTATCTACTTTCCCAGCGCTGGTCAGGCAGTGCGGTGGACCGCACCTCCATTGTTTTCTGCAAGGTTTTAGATTTCCATTTTGCATTGTACATGGCATGTGAAAGGAATAAGTCTCTCCTAGTCCCCGTCAATGGTGCTCACCATTGTACCGAAAGTCCTTCATTTAGGGGTGTGCGGTGAAAACGGCGACGAGAGAAGAAACGAAGCGTATATCCATGGTCAATGAAGCTTTCGTCAATCGTCATTCCCGAGCATGGGCTGCACAACATTCATTCATTCTATGGTGCCATGTTGATCGTGGTGTCACTTGTTCGACTTTTGGAATCTTGATTGACATGTGGTATGCAATAAGCCACCTGAAAATTGTAAGTTGAAGTCACGCATTAGACCATGAAATGAATGTCGAGCAAGGCTTTCTTTCAAAACAAGAATTATATATACGCCGAAATGTTAGTTGGAGAGTCGAACTTGGATCGACAGGCTGCACGACCACATGACTAACCACTGAGCTCCGAGGAAGCCTCTCATTGCACGAGAGCACGATGCTTGTGCTTCGGATCAGAGAGAGCAGTGTCTTCCATGAGAAGAAAAAAGATTCAGCAGCTTCATTTGATCCATTCCATGTTGCACTTGCACCAAAGTTCACTTGGCCCCTCCTCCTAAAAAAATCCACTTGGCCCCTGCTGTACTCAACACAATTGAATGCAGTCCTCAAAAGTCAAATTGCTTCCATTTGTTTATTCCCTCTTTGAAAACACTAAAAAAAGTTTCTACCTTTGTGATGTAGACCACAAAATGGTTGCGTCGCGATCCCATGGTTGCGCGGCGATCGGCTAAATTTTGGGCCGGTCGACCGGTGCCCAGTGGTCGCCAAAATGAAAGGAATTATCCACAAGATTACATCCTTGCCCGTCTCGCCCTCCTAACTACCTACTTTCTCAGCGTTGGTAAGACGGTGTGGTCGCCCGCAACTCCTTTGGTGTTGTTTTTGCAGGGTTTTTGATTTTCTATTTGCATTGTACATGGCATGTCAAGGAATAAGTCCCTCCTAGTCCCTGATCAACAGTGCTCACCGTGGACCAAGGTCGATGAAGCTTTGGTCGGCCATACCCGAGCATGGGCTGCACAACATTCATTCTGTGGTGCAAATGCTGATAAAGGTGTCACTTGTTCGTCTTTTGGAGCCTTGATTGGCAGGCGGCATGCAATAAGCCAAGTAACAATTGTAAATCGAAAACATGTATTAGACCATGAAATAACTGCCGAACGAGGCTTTCTTTCAAAACGGGAGTTATATGTATGTCTGAATTTTGAGTTGAAGAGTTTAACTCGGGTCGACAGGCTACACAACCATGTGACTAACCACCGAGCTCCGAGCAAGGCTCTTATTGCACGAGAGCACGAGGCTTGTGCTTGGGTTAGAGAGAGCACAAGCCTCGTGTATACACCCATGAGAAACAAAAAGATTCAGCAGCTTCCTTTGATGCATTCCATGTTGCACCAAAGTCCACTTGGCCCCTTATTCTTTGAAAAAAAGTACACTTGGCCCCTGCTGTACTCAACACAACTGAATGCTGTCCACCAGACGCCTCAAAATTCCTCTTGTTCCATTTGTTTATTCTCTCTTTGAAAACGCTAAAAAAGTTTGTACTTTTTTTCACACAGTATAGACGCAAGCGCCCGTATACACGCGCATACACTCATTCCTATGAACGCACACACGCAAATCCTACCCCTATGAGCACCTCTAAAAGACTGATCCGGCCGGCATATTATCTTGAAATTTACAAAGTCATCATAGGCACCTCGTCGTCGACAGGAACTTCTCCTCCCACTAAATACGCATCGTCGGAAATTTGAAATAATCCAGGAATAAATGCGAGCATCAGGATTTAAACCTTGATGGGATGAGGATACCACAGTCCCTCTAACCATCCAACTACAAGTTGGTTAGTTTGTACTCAATTTGAACTAAAACCACGACGAGTAATTTGAAACAGAAGGAGTACCTTTGTGGGGCAGGGGGCTGCTGCTTTGGCGGAGGCAATACATCATGGCATGCGTCAGTCACTCACTCACTCAGTCAGCGCCTACCGATTCGACTGGCCAAGGGGCCAAGCTAAGCACAAAAGACATTTGTTCATGGTTGCAATCATCAGTGCATGCATCATAGCACGATGAAGATGAATAATAATCTGGTGATCTATATATACACTGCCTTCACATTGATCAGCAACGGAATCATCTCTGATCTCAGCTGCATACGTTGTCACTAGCTCAGTAGCTCACTGGTCACCCGCTCACCGGTCATGGCTGGAGAAGAAGGAGAGACGGCGGCCGCGGCGACGATCCCTCTGCTGACGCCGTATAGGACGGGCGGCGGCGAGCTGGACCTGGCCCACAGGGTGGTGCTGGCGCCGCTGACGAGGCAGCGGTCCCCGGGGAACGTCCCGCAGCCGCACGCCGGCGTCTACTACGCGCAGCGCGCGACGGCCGGCGGGATGCTCATCACGGAGGCCACAGGCGTGTCCGCCGCGGCGCAGGGCCACCGGCCCACCCCGGGCGTCTGGACGGACGAGCAGGTGGACGCGTGGCGGCCCGTCGTCGACGCCGTGCACGCCAAGGGCGCGGTCATCTTCTGCCAGCTCTGGCACGTCGGGCGCGTCGTGGGCAAGCTCCGGCCGGACGGGACGCCCGCGGGGACGCCGCGGCCGGTGTCCAGCACCGGCAGGCCGATCGCCACTCCGCGGATGAACGACGGCGTCGAGGAGGAGTTCGCGACGCCCAGACGGCTGGATGTGGCGGAGATCGCCGGCGTCGTCGACGACTTCAGGAGGGCAGCAAGGAACGCCGTCGACGCCGGTACGTACGTACGAGCTCCGGTACCTGCTCGCCATTAACACTTCAAACACTCTGCTCTGTTTCGTGCCCTGCTCGTCGTGCCCAGCTTTAACTGCTCTGTTTTGTTCGTCGTGCTTTGCTCTAACTTCTCTACGTGTCTATGTCCATGGCGATTGGATTCTAGGGTTCGACGGCGTGGAGATCCATGGCGCGCACGGGTACCTCGTGGAGCAGTTCCTCAAGGACAGTGCCAACGACCGCGACGACGAGTATGGCGGCAGCCTCGAGAACCGGTGCCGCTTCGCGCTCGAGGTGGTCACCGCCGTGGCTAGGGAGATCGGCGGCCGCCGTGTGGGCGTCCGCCTCTCGCCCTTTGCCGACTACATGGACTGCCACGACTCCGACCCGCACGCCCTTGCGCTCCACATGGCCACCAAGCTCAATGGCATCCCCGGCGGCATCCTCTACCTCCACATGGTGGAGCCAAGGATGGCACGCGCCGATGGTCGGCGGGTGGTACCGAAGAGGCTGCGGCCGTACCGGGAGGCGTTTGGCGGGACATTCATCGCTGCCGGCGGATACGACAGGGAGGAGGGGAATAAGGTGGTCGGAGAGGGGTACGCCGACCTAGTGGCATTTGGGCGGCTTTTCCTAGCCAACCCGGACCTTCCAAAGAGGTTTGAGTTCGACGCGAAGCTCAACGGGTACAACAGGGCCACCTTCTACACCTCCGACCCTGTTGTTGGCTACACCGACTATCCATTTTTGGGCTGACCGACTCATCGTTCACTGGTGGAGCTGAATATGTGTTTGACATTCCAGAAATAGTTTCAAGAACATTTTGAATATCTATGTGATTAGGTCTCTCAATGCGTCTACTTCACTAATATCAAATGTTCTATGGGTTTGTCGAAAACAAAATATTATATTGCTATTTGCTAGTGGTTCCCATAGAACATTTTGTAGAACTGCACTCCCCTAGAACAAAATACAATAGAACAAAATATAGCATTCCCACTTGCAGGCCTCCCCTTCTCACTCTCTGTCTCTCATACACACACCGCGGTGGGAATGCTATTTTAGGACAGTAGAACTGCACCTAATCTCCGCCCTCTCATGAATTGAACTGCACCTAATCGCCGTTTGATTTCGTCCGATGGACATTCCTGATCATTTGATCTTCGTTTGATGCAGCATTTGGCACTAAATGTGCCACACATGCACGGACAACGACCGTTCTGGGCCGCTACATGTCACGTGTCGTAGATGAGACCGGTGTAGTCGATGCCGAAGTCGAAGTAGAGGCGTGCGAAGGTTGACAGGTGACGGTGGGTGATGCAAACAGATTTTAGATCGAAAAACTAAAAAGAAAACACCAAACAAACGTTCGGCGCGAGAGAAAAATCCAGATCAATCAATCGGGAAAAAGACTCTCTAAGGTAGCCGATCAACATGATCGGCGAACAAACCCTCGGTACGGGTTGCGTGTGGCCCAGTGGAGATCATGGAGATCGACCTCCATGGGGGTGACGCGATGCGGAAGCGGGAATGACTAGGGTTTAGGATCGAGATAAGATTGATACCATGTAAGAGGATTAGAGAGGGATTGGTGATGTACTACTTGAGCCTCGTAGGCGTATACATGACCTTCTTGGAGTATAAGACAAGGTAGAAATCCTACGCTATCCTATTTCCTAACAATCACGATACTCATGGAGGTTATGCTACATGCAGTTTCTGGGATTAGGGAATGTAGTATCTGAAGCTACTCCATTTTTGTCACAACTATAGAAATGGTACTCCATTTACACATGTCTGATTTACCGAATCAGTCGAGCCAACTGTGTCAAGAATTAAATAACTTTTTGCAGGAATTAAATAACTATTTTCATACAATGAACATGCATTCCTGCATAATAATTTTGTGACCGCATGATTTAAGCCACTCCTCACCCTTAATTATTGTACTAGTTTATATGAAGCTAGCAATAGCAGTCCTACATGGTTTGTTTTTGGATGAAACACGATACACACACATACATCTAATAATCAATGGGCGGTAAAATTAAATGTTCGTCCATTGGTAATGAAGGTTCCCTTGAACGCCTCTCTGTATGGCAGTACCGTAGTAGCCGCTTCGGCACCACCCGCTGGCCGTCGACGATGGCCATCCTCGGCTCGACCATGTAGAGATAGAGGATGTTGTAGTCGTTGAGCTTGGCGGACATGTGGAGCGCGAGGGCATGCTGGTCGGAGTCATGGCAGTCCATGTAGTCGGTGAAAGGGGAGAGCTTGGATTCTACGTCGGGGCGAGCAGTCCGATAATGATGGAGTTGTGAGGCAATGAGCATGAGGATGATTCACAACTCTTTCTGAAAAAGGTTGTGTGTACAAGTGTAATATGCATGTCTACACGAAGTGGAGAGCACAACAACCTGATGTGTGTAGATACATGTTGAACGGTGCATCATTAGTTGGATTTAGATTGAAGAAGAAAAAGAAGACGTGGAAATGCAATATGGTCCCATCTTTGAAAAACACTCCCTCCGTAAAAAAAGATAAGAGTGTTTAGTAGTGATCTAAACGGTTTTATATTTCTTTACAGTGGGAGTATGACATAGCGGATGTGTCATCTTGTTGATCGATAATTAACTAATTATATGTAAGATATATGATGTGATGTAATGACAGGCCTCTAGGTTGAAGGTTGAGATGTATTGAGGAACTTATGTATTAGTACTATTCTGTATTGAAACTATCATTTGTGTTTGCTATTTGTTATTATGTTTGCATAGTGATATATAATAGTTTATGAACGTATTGTGATTGCAATACTTGTGGTTAGCATTCTCTCCTGCACGGAGAACAGGAACCATCGTCAAGGCGATGTCTTTTATGCAGAAAAAATGGCCGAGGGCAACCGACTCTCACCAATTGCCATAGGGAAATGTTCCCTTTTAGAGGCACATCCGTAGACTAGAGACACTTAGCATGATGAATGGCAGAGGGCAGAACCAGACGCTCATATTCTTGTTTCATGGAGAAGCACCCCGATGCTTCAAGATCCTAAAATACAACGTCATAGTTGTTAAAGATTGCCGGGAGAAACTCTTTATGAAGCTACTCTTTTTTGTGAGACATGCGAAGCGAAGGTCCTAAGTGACCGATTCAATGTTGCTGAGGTTGTGCTTGAAGGTGGTGATGATTTGGTTCTCACGTAAAGCCTCATTAACGCGGATTTTGGGTTGTGAAGCAAGGACAAAGATGTCAAGAAATTTTTCATACAGGGGCGAATTACCCAGCCATTTGGCGAACCAGAACAACGTATACCGCCAATTACCCACTACAAACTTAGCACCTTAATTGAAGATCTCTTTGACTTTCACAACATCCCTCGGAGATGAGCTGCAAAAAAGGATGAATTGGGAAACTATTTGGCTTTAACGGTCCACTCCCACAACCCTATGGGGTGTTGTCAGAGCCTCCAACACTAGGAAATTTGTGAAATGAACCCACACAAAAAAGCCCTTTGCATCTCCTTCCCCAACGGCTAGGGGATGGGGAGCAACCCTAAGCTGCTGCCGACACCTTCCATCCCCCTCCCCCGACCCTTCCACCTCTCGCCGCAGCCGGAGGATGCCCACTAGCGAAGGTCAGGCCGGCCCCGAGGAAGGAAATGGCAGGGCACTTGTTCCTCGACGGCGAATTGCTTCCCTCCACCTCATGATCTGCCACAACTGTTGCTCTCCAGTCCTCTGACGCTCCCTTCGGACGTGGTGCAGCTCAGCCTCCACTGCTTGCCATGTCGGGCAGGACCACGTGCTACTACATGATTGCTCAAGCGCCGAAGTCGGCCTTGCCAGGGCCGTGCTGAGGCGTAAGCGGCTCTCTCAGCAGCGGCTACTCATGAGGGTTGGGGTCGGTCACTCCCTTTCCCGCTGGTGGCCGCACCCGATCAGATTGACAAACGTGTCCCTCATGTATTTGATTTGGAAGGATATCTTTTACAAATCTTACTGTGGTGACACCAACTGACCAGTGGAGCTATATATTCTGGTGAACACCAAAGTCCTTGTGAGGGTTCTTCTCTCCATACCTGGTGGCCACTTTCGTTGCTCATACTGGTGAGGTTGTTGGATGCCGCTGGAAGGCTCCACTGTGGGTTTTCACAGCTCTCGTTCTGGCCAGTTTGCTTTCGATGGTGAGATACAATCTATGGACAGTGGCTTGATGCAGAGCGTATAGTTGTGACGCGGCAATGGTGGGATTCTTAGCCCAATGCATGTAGCTGCTGGGATCGCGAAAAAAAATGGTGGATACAACAAATGATTGACTCCGATTGGTGGTGCTTCACGAGTATCAGGTCTCAAGCTCCGGGTGAAAACCCTAGGTCTATGCCAAGTTGGTTATACCTAACAATGATGATGTTTTTGCGTCGTTAACTTGTTGAAGGCATTGATTGGATATGCTCGGGCTTGTTCTTCATGGTGGAAACCAAGAATCCGACTTTTGGTGGTTCGTTCCGGTCACGGCGACGCTTGAGCATTGTTCCATTTCTAAAAGCGTTGTTGTTGAATAACCACGTTTGTCCTTGTAGTGTCAAAGGGATGGTTGGTGCAGATATAGTAATAGTAGTAGTAGTTGTTGTTGTTGTTGTTGTTGTTTGTCGTTCTCTGTTTAGTTTTAAGCCCTTCAGAATTTTTGTTCTTTTTCTAAGAAATAGCTTTGAGTCGTATACAACTTTGCTATTCGTTCATGTATTTATTTGGGTGTGCGTTGATGTTGGCTGTTTGCATTCTAACGATGGAGATGTATGTTCACTGTGTTTGTACTTGCTTGATGTTTCCTTTCAAGTCAATAAAATTTACCCTATGTCCAATTATTATTTTCCTGAAATCAGTAGAAAGTAATACCAGGCTTCAACGACATTTTGACTTTTTGAATGCTAGAGCTAGTCAACACATACGGCTAGTTAAAGCTGCGGCAAGAACGTGCGTTGGTTTCGATTCACAGGAAAGGTAACATGCGGTACCCACTCTCCAATATTGGCCTGCATCCATCTGGCCGCACGCAATTGTCAGCGTACGCCATGGCGCTACCGGATCACCAATGCCTCCTCCTCCTCGTCGCCGCCATGCCATGGCGCTACCGGATCACCAATGCCTCCTCCTCCTCGTCGCCGCCATGCTGGTGTTCTCTGCGGCCGGCAGCTCCAAGGACATCACCGGGGGATACTTTGAGTACGACTGCCCCGTGAACACAGGGCCGTCCATCATCGGAGGCACCGTGTTCGATGATGACCTGAGGTCGCTCATGGCGGCCCTCCCGTCCGCGGCCGCGCCAACGGGCATCCCCTCCCTCCGGGCTGGCCGTGGTCGTGCGTTCGCCATGGCCCGAGGACTATGCTTCGGGGACTCGGCGCCGCCGGAGTCCTGCCGCGACTGTCCGTCCCAGTCCGCGGGGATAGTCCTCGACGCCTGCGACGGCAATCGGGGCGCCGCCATGTGGACCGACGGGTGCTTCCTGGCCTACACCGACGGCAACGCCACAGCCTCAAAGGCCAACGACGTCTTCTACGAAGCGTCCTCTTCGTCCAATGATGTCTCCTGCGACGCGGAGGAGGTCGTCCCCCTGGCCCGGTCCCTGGTAACTCGATTACATGATGAATCTCATCCAACTCCTCACCGACCAACGAGTCTACGAAAAAATTACTCATTCTCGATGGGGAGCATCATGAAATTGGCGATGAAGATAGGTTGGTGATGACGAAGATC